TTCCTTTTTTTGTTGTTTTTTTTTTTTAACTAACAGCCACAGCAATCAAAGATCATTCCAACATTATGGTTCCCAGGTGGGGGAGGTGATAAATTTCTCAGCACAGAACATTTCTAGAAATTGCAGGCTGACTGGCAGCTTTTCTTCAAGCCAGGGACCCACCTGCATCAGCAGACAACAAACTGATCCTTTATCCCCCAACAATAAGCAGTCCCGCTGGACTGCCAGGGCTCTGCCCCCTACAGAAGTTTCTCGACTCTCAAAGCTGGATTTGGCTACGCTTCCATGTTGGCAACTTCCCCTCTCTGAAGCCCGCCTCTCCTTTTCTTTGCTGCTTTTATGTCTTTTATTTACAACCCCCCTATTGTCAGCCAACAACATGCAGATAGTTGGTGACATGGGAAAACGGCAGATTTAAGTCTGATAAAAGGGATTTGCAACACAAATAAGTAGGCTGTTGACTCAGAGGGGTCCCAGGGAGAGACTAATGTGGGGGTCCCTCTCTTACGCCTACCCACTGGATGACTTGCACTGACTTAGCCTTAGTGAGGCTTAGTGTTTCCCAGGCAATTGTCCTGCTTGCTTATCCCTAAAACCATCCCTGGCCACAAAATGTCCCTGGGGCCAAGAGATGAGCAGGATTATTTTTTTTCGAAGGGATGCACACTTCTTTTTTGTAGGTGAAACACAGCTCCAGTACAGAGGGACCCAAAGGACCTATTTCTCACGCTTCAGAGCACAAGCCAAATGGGTTATTTCAGTCTGCAACGTCTACAACCTTCTCCTGTCACCTCTGTTACTGCCTGAGACGCAATGCTGGATCAGATTGTCCTAAAAATGGTCTGATGCTACCTGAAAATTCCTACTTTCTTTTGAAGTGAGAAACCCAAACCATCCACTCTTACGACATGTATCATCCTTTCAACAACCTCTCTTGTCTTGAAGTATGAGAGCCTGTTTGCTGGGCTTTCCTCATCTGAAATGTTAAAATGAACAGTTCTATGAAGATAACACCTGGACACCCCAAACAAAATTGGTTTCCTGTTGTGCTAAGGCTTCTCCCCAACAAGGGTGGTGAGAAACAGTTACTGTCTCTAAGACCTGAGAGTTGAGGAAGACTAAGCAAGCAGTGGGGAGGGACCCAAGGGCACACAGAGGTGAGTTGCCCTGCCTGGCGTCTTGTGTTCACCAGTTTCAAGGAGTAAAACCCATGACACGGTTGTGGATGCTCCATAGACCTCTGGGACCAGAAGTAGCTGATGCCACTGCCAGTTCTGGTTAGTGCCACTGCCATAATTTGGTGCTGCTTGCCGGCTAATCACTGTGAAGAGAGGAAGAGCCAAGTAGCTCGAGACAGTGTTGTTAGCACCGCTTTGGTGCTGCTCAGACAAGCTGATTAGTATGTAAGTGCAGGTTTGCACCTTATAGGCTAATTTGGGGATGCATAAGCTTTTGTGAGCAACAGCTGCTTTTGTTTGTCGAAGTGAAGAGTTGCTTAGATGAAAGCACGTGCATCTCTGAGCTAGTTAGTTTATACAGTTCAACTCTGCCCTGCCTTCTGGCTGACTTCAGACTAACGTGACTACTTCTCTGGAGTACGGCAGTGTCCACGCAGCACTGAGACAGAGGTAGTTAGCAGGCCTGCGTACAACCCTGTCTACACTTTCCTATCCTACAACCCTGCCTACATCCCTGGCTGTGTTGTTTCCAGATTCACAGATGTTAGGGGCTGGAAGGGACCTCATGCGATCATTGGGTCCAGCCCCACTGCACTTGGGCAGGAAAGACTGCTGGGGTCATCAGAAGTAACCATAAAGTACCTATGAACATGGAGAAAGGATAGATCTATTTCTATGGTGCTAGGCAGCATCATTCTGCAACTTCTTGGCGCATACAGGAAGATACTGAATAGCTCTGATTTTTTAAAATCAGGGTGAAAGTCCAGATTTAGAAAGTGCTCAGAGGTTCAAGGAGACCTAATCATCATGGATTTTCCATGTTAGCCCCAGCTGGAAAATTGGGGCTAACATGGAAAATCCATGAATGTTGGTCACTTGACCATGAGTAGAATCCAGGCTAATGTCTTAATTACCAAATCAAAATGCCTCTGCTTTAATCGTAGAGGTATCCCCCTTCAGCCTCAAAGGATAGTGTGTTTATACTTGTACTCATCAGAGCAGCTTTCACATGCCTATAAGCCATTGTTTTTTCAAGGTTCATGCTTATAATGCAACCTCAAATCATTAACGAATGCTCGGCTTTGCACAGCTGTGGTATATATGTGGTCTATATAGCTTTTCAGCTTGTCTACAAAAATCCTTCAGTCACAGCCTGCGATTCACATTTTCTCCCTTTTGTTCCAGGATAACCACGCCACTAGCAGCGGACACATCATTGTAACTTGCCTCCAGAAAGTGTGTCAAGTTCGCATTTTTGCTGTAATGTGGAGCCACTGATTGGGTATATGATTTATGTGTATTATTTGCTAGGTCAAATCATACTGAAAGCAATGTGAAAATAAATGTATTATGCAGAAAAAGAGGATATTAAAAATAACTAATAAATGCAGCTGTTTAAAAAAAAAAAAAAAAGAATGACTGCTTCAAAAGTATATTTTTTCCATTTGTTTGCATGATAAACTGGCTTCTGATTTCACCAGAATGTCCATTTTCATCCGATTTTTCCCCTGGTCTTGAAAGTTGTCTTTTTTTTTTTTCTTTTTTTTAAATGATGTATGCATTTTTAAACAGTTTGAAAGTGGGTGTCTTTGAATTGGGGAAAGGGAAGGCAATGACCAAAAAGATCCCTGTCCAGAACTGCTGAGGCCGCCGTGTCCGTGCTGACAGGTCTCTTCATAGATAATTAGGGCCTGAAAGGGACCTTGCAGATCATCGGGTCCAGCCCCCCTGCACCAAGCAGGAAAGACAACTGGGGTTAGGTGACCCCAGCGAGGTGACTGTCCAGTCTCCTCTTGAAAACCTCCGGGGTAGGCGACCGCACCACCTCTGGAGGGAGTTTATTCCACAGTCTGGACACCCTGACTGTGAAGGAGTTTTTCCTGGTATTAAACCTGAAGTGGCCTTTCAGGTGTTTGTATCCACTGGTCTTAATCTTCCCCAGGGGTACCCTAGTGAACGGTTGTTCACCAATCTCCTGATGCACTCCTTTGATATAGCATCAAGTTCCCTTTCAACCTGCTCTTCTTTAGGCTAAAGAGGCCCAGGTTCATCAGCCTTTCCTCGTACGGCTTGCCTTGCAAGTCCCTGGTCATATGGGTGGCTCGTTTCTGGACCCTCCTAAGTTTTTCCACGTCCTTATTGAAGCGCGGTGTCCAGAACTGGACGCAGTACTCCAGCTGTCGTCTCACCGGCGCTGAGTGCAGCAGGAGTATCACTGCCTAAGTTTTACACGAGATGCATCAATTGATGCATGCCAGAGTGCTGTTTGCCCTACTGACCACCGCCTCGCACGGACGGCTCATTCGTACGGTAGTCAATCATTACCCCTAGGTCCCTTTTGGCCGTGGCGCAAGTCAAGCTGTCACCGCCGAGCCTGTATGTATGCTGAAGGTTGTTTGCCCCCAGATGGAGCACCTTACACTGGGAAGTGTTCAACTTCATCTAGTCCCAACTCTTGAGCCTGTCCAGGTCCGCCTGTATCTGCAACCGGTCTTCTGGCGTGGACACGCTGCCCCATAACTTGGCATCATCTGCGAATTTGGCCAGCGAGCTTTTCGCTCCCCTATCCAAATCACTGATAAAGATGTTTAAAAGCACCGGTCCAAGCCTCCTAAGGGAGACCACTGGCCACTGCTTGCCAGGACGACACCGATCCATTCACGAGACCTCTCTGGGTCCTACCACGCAGCCGGTTTCCCACCCACTCAACCGCCGAGCAGCTGAGCCCACAATCTTCCAGTTTTCCCACCAGGATATCACGGGATACTAGATCAAAACCCTTTTGGAAGTCAAGGTATATAACGTCGACCTCGTCTCCCACGTCCAGGTGGCGAGAGACTTTGTCGCAGAAGGAGATGAAATGGGTGAGACAAGACCTACCTGCGACGATGCGACTCAGAAACTTACCTTCTACGAGCGATACTTTCATGAGCTTTTCCAGGATTTTCTCTCGGCTAATCGACTTATAGTTGCCCGGGTCCTCGCTCTTCCCCGTCTTGCAGATGGGCACGATGTTGGCCCTCTTCCAATCCTCGGGGATCTCCCCTGCGCGCCATGATTTCTGCAACAGTTTCCCAGAGGGCCCGTAATGACCTCGGCCAGCTCCTTCAGCACTCTTGGATGGAGTCCATCCGGTCCCGCTGACTTATAAACGTCTAGCTTTTCTAATTGGTATGGCACAGGGTCAGTCCCGGCACGTCCCGGACAAGCCTCATCTCGCCTGGGTGCGGTGACAAGCCAAGTTGGGATGGTCCTGGGGTTGTCGCGGTGCATTTCAATTCAAGACACCTTTCCTTAGGCTCGAGCCCCCTCGAAAACCGTCGGCTCTTCGTCTTCGCTCGTTTTTTGGACGACGGGGAAATAACTCCACGCGGGTTTTTTTGTCACAAAGATCACGGAAAGAACGGTCTTGACCTTCTGGTCGCACCAAAATTTCCATTTGGGTCCAATGTTTTGGACCGTGGAAAAATAATTCCACATTTTTTTCTCGCGAAGAGCTCGGGAAGAACAGTCTTGTCCAAAATTTCCATTTTGAGCCAAATTCCCCCCCTGCTTTGGAAGTGGACCCGGGGTGGAGGCCACAGACACTGCTGAGCCCCACACAGGGCACCATCTGAGGGGAGAACTACACCTCCCAGCATGCATTGCGCGACGGGGAAGAGCCACAACTGCCAGCGAGCCGTGCGCGTGGGAGGGACTACAACTCCCGGCATGCACTGCGCTTAGAGCACTACGACTCCCAGCGTGCCCTTCTTCCTCGCCGCCGGCTAACCGCAGCTCCCGGGGGGCCCCCCCGCGGCCCGTCTCCCGGGCAACGGGCTGGCAAACAAGATGGCGGCGCCCATGGGCGAGGTGGCCTCAGCCCTCCCGCTCCCGCAGCAGCAGGACGAGGAGGAGGACGAGGAGGAGTCGGACCTGGAGCCGCCGCCCATGGAGGTCCCACCTAGACCCCACCATGACTGGGACAGTGGCTGGGGTGCCCTGGGGACCCCCTGGGGCTGGGGCGCTGGCTGGGGGTGTACTGGAGACCCCCCCCTGACACTGGGACATTAGCTGGGGGTGCGCTGGGGACCCCCTGGGGCTGGGGCACGGGATGGGCGTGTACTGGAGACCCCCCCATGACTGGGACATTAGCTGGGGGTGCCCTTGGGAACCCCCTGGGGCTGGGGCGCTGGCTGGGGGTGTACTGGAGACCCCCCCTTGACACTGGGACATTAGCTGGGGGTGCGCTGGGGACCCCCCTGGGGCTGGGGCACGGGCTGGGCGTGTACTGGAGACCCCCCCATGACTGGGACATTAGCTGGGGGTGCCCTTGGGAACCCCCTGGGGCTGGGGCGCTGGCTGGGGGTGTACTGGAGACCCCCCCATGACTGGGACATTAGCTGGGGAACATCTGGGGCTGGGGCACTGGCTGGGGGTGTACTGGAGACCCCCCCATGACTGGGACATTAGCTGGGGAACATCTGGGGCTGGGGCACTGGCTGGGGGTGTACTGGAGACCCCCCCATGACTGGGACATTAGCTGGGGAACATCTGGGGCTGGGGCACTGGCTGGGGGTGTACTGGAGACCCCCCCATGACTGGGACATTAGCTGGGGAACATCTGGGGCTGGGGCACTGGCTGGGGGTGTACTGGAGACCCCCCCATGACTGGGACATTAGCTGGGGAACATCTGGGGCTGGGGCACGGGCTGGGGGGGTACTGGAGACCCCCCCCACCCCGAGACTGGGACATTGGCTGGGGGGGCCCCGGGGGACCCCCTGGGGCTGGGGCACTGCCGGGGGGTGTACTGGAGCCCCCCCCCACCCCGAGACTGGGACATTGGCTGGGGGTGCCCTGGGGAACCCCTGTGGCTGGGGCACTGACTGGGGGTTTACTGGAGACCCCCCCTGATACTGAGACATTGGCTGGGGGGGCCCTGGGGAACCCCTGTGGCTGGGGCACTGACTGGGGGTTTACTGGAGACCCCCCCTGATACTGAGACATTGGCTGGGGACATTAGCTGGGGAACATCTGGGGCTGGGGCACGGGCTGGGGGTGTACTCGAGACCCCCCCTGACACTGGAACATTAGCTGGGGAACATCTGGGGCTGGGGCACTGGCTGGGGGGGGGCTCGGG